TTTTTCTTTAACATTAATACTATTTTTAAGTTACTTCTATAGAAAACTTGAGATTAATGAGGAAAAATAAGGGCCATATTTATCGCTATTGTTATTGCAGATTTTTTTGCTATTGCTGCTGATAATGATACTTTTCAAGTCTTTGGTATCTTCAAAAGAAAAAAAAATGAAGAAACTAAGATGGATTTGCTTATCAATTTTAAACTTTAAAACATCATTTTGACTTCTTTTTTTTCCCAAATTGCTGGCCATACTCGGTCTAGAAAAGTAATACTTAATGTAATTACTATAGACCAAAAAAAACAGTAAAAAAAATAAAATTGAAGTGTATACTTGACAGGCAGTGTCAATTAGATATCGGCAAAAGGTTATTAGCCAAAGAAAAAGGTTATTTAGAGTAAAAAAAAATGAAATTATTGTATTGAAATAAATTACCTGTTAAATTCGGCAATATCTCCAATGGAATACATATCTCCATGATCCTTATTTATTTCACCTGTAAATTACTATTATTATTGCTGACGAATTGAAAAGTGCAAGGCAAAAATTTGTGCCTACAGTACTGATACGAAGCAAGTTTATTCAAAAATCTTGAAAAAAAAAAAAAAAAAAAAAAACAAGAATCTTTTGAGACTTCACACTAGTAATTTATGAAGTCTAAAAAAATTTTCCTAAATTTGTTTTTCCTATCTACATAATTTACATGCAGTAAAATATCGGTGCCGGCTACATCAAAAAAAAAAAAAAAAAAAATTATCTGGTTTCTTATTTAGTTTAGCAAATTTTCCGTTAGCAATTTAACCACATTTACTTTTGTCTTGGCAATGTAGTCAAAATGTTTATCTTGTTTTGTTTTAAGAATTCTTCTGTTCTTGTCTAAGATGTATGATTTGAAAAGAAGTTGTACCTGCAAAGAAGTTCTGCATCAAAAATGGGAAAACAATTTTTTACATAGCTAATTACTTTTATACGTTTTTTTTTTTCAGATTAGATTTTCTTGCAAAAAGACAATCTGATTTGAATAAAAATGTTGCTGTCTTCTTGCTACTATTGTTGTTGCTGTTGTTGTCGTTCAACTGACTGCTATCCAACTAATGTCATTAAAAGAAATCGAAGATGAAAGGAGAGAGAACAAAAAAAAAAAAAAAAAAAAA